AATAATGTTTAATTTAAAATTCAATATTTAGTTTTTGATTTATGCTATTTTGTCAATCTTTTAACATTGATTTATTTATGGATTTTTCCATCGTCAAAAATTCTTTTTGTTGTTTGCTATTCCTTAACACATGGTCCATTGGCTCTTGCTATAATTCTTTGGAAGAATTCACTTGTTTTTCATAGTTAGTTGTTTATCAATGATATGGTAAAAAGAATCCAGAAAAAATTTTTTATTTTTATCATTCTAGGTGTTGATAACGTAACAAGTATATTCATTCATATGTAAATTTATGAATTTATTTCTCTCATTATTTTTTTTTTCTATATCGATTTATTATTAGGTATCCATCCATAACAATGTGTACTGTTCGTTGGCTTTTACCTGTTGATTTTCAAATTAAACATTATCCAGCTATAGCCGAAATAGGTTCAACACTTCCTGTGGGTGCATCTATTTTTTATACAATTATATTTTATTTAATCTGGCAAATATTGTATTATACGTTTATCGTTTATGGACGTCGACAGAAAGTAGCTAGTGGATCAAGATTAACATCGTATACGTGGTTGTTAACCGATAAACATAGTTTTGTTTCACGTCTGATTAAAAGATTAGGTTTTGGAAGACTTGATAGTGAAGTTAATGGATATACAATTTTCGTTTATTATTTTTTGCAATTTTTATACATGCTTATTTCAGTTTTTCCGGTTTTATTATGGTATTATCAAAACATGTAAGTTGGTATTCTTATATTTTTAGTAATGATAAAAATACAAAAAGAAAATTATTCATAAATCGAAGCCCAGTAAATGCATAAGAGCCAAATCCGACAGAAAAATAACGGAAATCAATGAAATCGAAATGCAGTATTTCACATCGGATAATATGTAAAAGTCTCCATTGAATTCTAGCTAATAGTCTGTAATTTCCGTAAAAGAATCTACACTATCGGTTTCCGTACTTTTTCGTATTCTTTCGATGAAAGCCATTCCTTTGCGAAAATTGGCATCATTGAGATGAAATTGAATGTAACTAAATTCTTATTTTAGGTACATCAATGTCATCTTTCTTTGCTTAATGTTTATGGTCAGTGTTTATAATGGTGCATCGTTTTATATTGGTAAGATTACTAATACGTAGTTTTTATTTCTATTTGTAATTTTATAATATTTAGATGTCTTCTCACGTCAATATATAAAAAGTCTTGAATTATTATATAATTGGGATAATTCCGATGCCAGTAATGATGCAAATGACAATAAAAAGCATTCTTAAGTATAGTTTTATATATTGAATACTCATTTGTATTTGATTATATATACTACATATAGCTTTTAATCATTCATTTTTATCAACTAGAATAAATATATATTTTACAATTCAGTGAAGCATTGTTTTGGATGGTCGACTAAGGAGAAAGTAGCTTGACGACGTATGCATCGGAACTGCACATCCAGGGTGTGGATGTAGGTGTGGGTGAGTGTGGGTACGAAGTGTGACTATTGGTGTAAACCTTCTCTTCATTCAAATCCACACCCATCATCCATACCCACACATACACCCTCAATAAATCACTAAACTATTGAAATTTTTCAGGTTTCTGATATTTTGAATAAAATGAGAAGACAATATAGATACATCTTAATTTAAACATGTCACTGACAATTATTCCATTTGAAAGTTTCCTACTCAAGAGAAATACAGCAACTTATTCTATATAGAGTCCTAAATTACATTATTTAAAAAAAATAACAGAACGACAGTGAAAAAGTCGACATAGAACACGTTATTGACTCATATAGTTTTTGTAGAAACAGTTTGAAAAATTCAACCTTGATTACTTGTCTTCAACTGATGTTAGCTTGATTAAAATATTCGGTATAGATTCACCATTATAATCCTTGTATGGACACGATAATCCATCATCTTTCTTTTTCCACATCCAAGTTCTTGGATCAATGATTGTCAGTTCTTTTCCACCCAACTTCTTTGTATAGATATGACGTGTTGCCGGATTTGACACTTGTACAAGTGCATATTGAAATCCTTTCGTGTCTCGCGCATGATTACACATAGCAGCACGCAATCGACTAGCTACACCTTTGCCCGAATGGTGAGCTCGCGTTGCACCTACCATAATGTGTAAGACCATGTTAGGCTTCAACTCTTGACTGAAGTCTTGACGAACAAAACTGTCAACCATTTCGTCGAGTAAATCAATGAAAGGAATTGCTGCTGGAGGATCAGAAGCTTTATATGGACGTGTCTCATGTGCCAGAAAAAGGTCGCTGGCAAAAATGGCAGCAATAATTTCGCCCGAAGAACGGTGTCGCGCAAGAAAAGACAAGCGTTCGTCAAGTATCTCGGTTATCGATGGCCATGATACTTCGTCGAAGAAAGATTGTGGTGTTATTTGGTCAAAGACACTTATTGGTTCATGTGCAGCAAATTCTTCGGCGATCAGCTGTGCACACGTATGTGCATCAGTTTTATTATCAATTACTTCGTACACATATTCATGACTATCAGCCGTCTCGTTGCTGAAGAGAGAAGTAGTAGAATAAGAAAAGTGTTTCTTATGTGTATCATACAGGTTTTTTTCCTTGCTTTCTCTTTCTTGTTTCTTATCTATACGTATTACTTTTATTTACTTGCATTCTAGTATACATGTTGTCGGTGGAACTTGCACGTGGTCGAGCTTGATAAGACAATTAAAAATGCCTTTGTTTTGTCTAACGAAAAACAAGGGTATGGGTGTGGCTAAATAACAGACACAGCCACACTCACACCCTGAATGATATATGTTTTAACTTTTTTCAGTAAAATCGCTAGGTCAGAAAATGCAAAATACTAAAAATGTCATGAAATTATATCCGCTAGGAGAAAATTGTTTTCGTTAATACTCAATCAAAACAATCCTGACCTTGACAATATTTTTAGATGACATAGTACTTCACATGATCTTTCTAATGCTGAAAGAATCAGGTCTGTATCTATAAAGGCAGCTGAGTTATTACAAAAACAAAAAGTGTCTTAAAATTAGGTCCATCACTTTACGTCTATTTACTGTATTAATTTTTTCAATAAAATATATGTTTTCAGTAAAGTAAATCTTTCGGTAAAAACTGTCATCAATTCCATTTATCCGTGAAAGAAAAGTTAGGAAAATGTTTTTTACATCAAATTGAAGTGAAATATGATATTGTAGAATTTCGTCAACTGAAATGAATATTTAAAATGAAATATTTTATTTTCCAATTTTTTTTGAGATAATTCGTATTCATATAAAATTCAAATAGAAGTTTACATGAAAGTCAGAAATTAAGATATCGAACTTTGAAGTTATATACAATGTGAGTGGTTAATTACATTGTTGTTCGGTTTTTCTGTAATTCCACCAAGTCTCGAGAGTTTGTTATTTTGATAGAATTGGATAGAACATTAATTATTCTTTCGAATCATATAGTTTTCATTTCATTTATCTTGCATCTCATGCAAACATTTTATACAGACATGATTTTTCGTTTTCAGCAGTTTTGGAATCATATCTCAGTTAATCTCTTCGGTAACTATTAGATTATCATGCACTGAAATTTTCTTGTTTTTGTCGAAAGAAATACAATATGCGTTTCTCTATCGAGCTATATATTTTTCATTGAACTCATTGTTTATTTTCATCACTAATCTGGTAATTTCTTGAAAAGTTTTTATGTAAACTTTTTTCTAAGAACTTTTGTCGTTTTTCTCGAAAGAATTTTTACTGTCTCAGTAGTAAAATTTGTTCTTATTAATATATATGGTTAGCTGGAGTGTTAATTTCTTTCTTGATTCATATAATATTAATTGGATTTACGTCAAATTTTACAGACAAAGTTTTTTTATCGTCAAAATTTTGGTTTGTCTAGTGAAATATAACCATGAAAAAATTCCATTTTAGCGATCCTCGACATTTATCAGCTGTTTTGGTCAAAATATAAGATAGATAAAACGAAAGATGAAGTAATCAATGGTCTATCCAACCAAATTAAAATAACAAACGTTTCAGATTTTGTAGAATCAAAGAAAATCGATCAAAACTATCATAAATAATGTAATCAATCTATAGATCATATGTTTTTTCTCATTCAGCCAATTATTCGTTGGTTTTTTCACTTATATGAGAAAAGAGCCTGGTATCATACTGCTCAAATTATAAATCCAAAAGAAAATATAATAAATCTTGAACGATATTGCAGGATTTTTTTAGATTTCGAATGGTTTTGAAAATCTTATTTCTAGATAGTATGAATATTTGATTAAAAAGAGGGTTTGGGTGTGGGGTGTGGGTGGGGATGGGGTGGGTTGGTGTGGGTGTGGGTGGGTGTGGGTGTGGATGAATGTGAGAAAAGAAGAACAACACCCCACATCCACACCCACACCCTGCTTTTGATCACCCAACTCCTTTGAAACAAGGTGTGACTATTGAATGCTTCATTTTATCCTACCATGCAAAACGCAGGTAACTTACAGACGTTTTTTCAACTTCGAACGAATGTATGTAGAGAATGATAAGAGGGAAAGACTTGTAATTGTTAACAAATATGTAAGTGAACAAAATCCATAATACTTGAAAGTTTGAGCCTCAACCGTTTAGTTGTTTGGATTTTATGATTAAAATACTGGTCGGTAACACACAAACAAAAAAGCCCTCGGTTTTCGATGGGTGCGAAGGAAATGATAAATCCTGTGAACCACTCCATGTTCATGAATTTTATGAGAGAAGGTTTTGTAGCTGGAAGTCATGGCAATCTTTTGGTGAAGACAAAATATACATACACAGAAAAATGAGCTAGCTATTGATAAAACATTAAGTAACGCACAGACATCTAAAATTTCGTTTTGTATTTGGAAATATTGGTTTAGGGCATCAAAGTAATGATGCTTAGGCTGCTACTATTCTTTTTATGCTAATAATGCTTCCATTATTGTTCAAGATAAAATAGCGTTCGAAATATGAAAAGACATAAAACAGCCTTTTCAAGATATTTTTGCACAAAATATGTTGACTTTTTGCTGGTAGCTTCTGTTTTTTCTCATAATTATTAAAAAAAATAGATAGATCGACGCAGAATATACGAAAACCTATATTAAAACTTTGAATGAGTAAGATCGGTTGCGTTGTGTTCGAGAACTTGAGTCCTCAACTTCAATCATGCTGGTGGACCGATAGCTGTTTTGACTGCTACATATCTAAGTGTAGAATAGCATCATTTTGTATCAGATAATCTATGAGTTTTTACAGATGTAGGTATGACTGGTAATATTTTCATTGATGTTTTAGAAAATATTCACAATAAATATTTATTAATATAATTTCAAGAAAACTATTAATTATTGACAAAGAAAATGTCTTGTTTAGAATAAAATTTCAGTTATTTAGTAAACGGGGATTGATTGATCCATAAAGATGCCGTAAATAGAAGTGGTTTTCGTTGAATAACTCATATATGTATGATCGAAAGTCTTGTTTCAGGATAAACTTGATTTCGTTTTTTACATAAACAAAACAAACGTTCTCGCACTATTTGACGAAAACGACTTGAAGCAATAAGGAATATATAAAAACTGCTCTAAATATATTGAAAAATATTATTTTAAAATAAAAGTTTTTTATTTAACTTACTCCAAAATTAAAACTACCTAATAAACTGGTTACAGTTAAAAATAAAAAGTCTTTATCCATTTGTTCAGCATCTTTTTTTCTATTTGACGTTAATAAAATATATGTATTATAGCTTCCAAAAGGTATTGCTTCAACAACAACAAAAAGAAGTTGTAAACAAACCATTATAACTAATTGACGATCGGCACCAGGTAATTGACGAGCATGAGTTAATTGACGCATATTTTTATATGCAAGAAAACCGAATGTAACTAATATTATTGCAGGAATTGCCAATAAAAAACAAAAGAAATTGACAGATGAGTAATAGGTAGCCAAGAATTCACTATCGAATACACATTTGTTCGATCTAAATATTTCAATTTATTATATGAGATGCCAGAAATACATTGGAAAGTATTAGAAAATGTTTTTAGAAGAATTAAACAATGATTAATATATAAACACTGATGCGGAATATCGTACTTTAATTAAAATTGACTCGAAACAACAAATATTTCGTCGAATCTACTGATAAGACCTGAAACTTTTGTATAAATTAACATCTCAAATAAACTAATTCTTACATAAAATCTTTTCATTTTTTGACAGTTCATTTGTCAAATGTAAATGCTTATAAAGATAGATATTTTTCTATAATTTTTATACAAAATAGGAATATTTCGAAAAAAAAACCAGATTCGCTAATATAATATAAGATTATACTAGTATATTAGTTGTCTACATATGCACACAATATAAAGGCCAACGTAGCACTTCTTCTGAGAAAATTTAGTAATGATAAAACAACTTTATTATTAGTTATTTAAATTTATCCATTTGCCAGTGTAGCTTTAATTAACATTATTATTTCCAGAAACTCGTTTTCATTTGCAAAATATACTTCAAATCTTTGTATCTTATGCACGATCCTTATTCTTTCAAATAGATCTGATCTACAAAAACTATTACCAAACCGATTCTGAGTCGGCATGCAAATTTCTACTATTTTGTAGTATACATATTGCTCATTGAAAGAATTTTGTTTTTTCCTTCGACGCACATTTATTTATAAGTATGTACTGACATTTTTTAAGTTTTTGCGGTTCACTGGACATTATGTGCCAAATATAAAGCCTATCGAGTCCAAAATTTTTGGACCCGAGTCTAATCCCGAATCGTATTCTTGACACTCAACGAAGTTTTTTTCAACTTGCACTTGATAGTCGCACAGGAACACGCCCTCAACATTTCTCAAGGAATGTTGGCGATGATCTTATAAGAATCAATTTATAATTCACTCGTTTTTTTTAGAGTAGCACTCGTGAAGTCGGACTCAGATTCGGATCCGATCAACAGAAAATGTTTAGGCCCGAAATCGATGGGTTCTAGTCGAATGTATTTGACTTCTATAGAACAGAACTTGAAAATTTGTCTTTTTTTGTAAATTTAAAACAAAACATATATAAGATGGCTCAACATTTCCTTTACAAAGAACAAAAAATTTTAATAACCTCATATTTTAACCAAAGGAGTGGATCTTTTTACCATTGATAAAGCAATATTCACAAGAAAAGTGTCCAATAAAAGATGTTACTATGGATGTACCGAGACTGAGACTAAACAGAGAGTCTTAGTCTCGATTAGTCCCCGTCGCACTTCCACACAATGCTGGTATTGAGGAGATCAAAACAGCAGTCGTAGGATCTCAAAATAGATTAGGGGTAAAAGAAAAAACATGCAGAAACTTGTTTTCCTGAAAATATCACATAAAAACATCTGATTAAATGAATGAATGAAAAAAAAAAATGGAGAAATTGAATTTGTGAGAAGAAAATTCATGAGAGACTATTCTGAGATCGACACGGAGTTCAAGACATTAGGACTGGTACCAATATCGTGACTGACTAAGATTCAGACCAAGACCGAGAGGTCCGAGCCCGGTACATGCCTAGATGTTACTATGAAGTATTATCGTTCATTTCAATAAAGATCTGTAACATTCGACAAATTATAAGAAAATATTTCAATCAGCCAACAAGTTTTCGTTTTCTATGGCAGAGACTTATTCGCTACAATGAATCAGTTGACATAAATTTATAGTAAAAGTTTAAGATCGATCAATAATTGTATGTTGTAATTAGACAAATAAATAGATTTTAACTTACTGTATTTGATTGTAAACGAGAAAAGGAATACCCTGAAGATGCCATATAACAACACAAACAGCAGCGATTCGATGAGCATTTTTGATATTACTCAATTGTCGTAAGCGAACATGACGTGATGTTACTAAAAATTGATCTATAGTTGCTAAACATTCACATGTTAATGCTATATTAGGATAAGTTGCAACAACAAATTGACGAATTTTACACCAAGCAAGAGATGAACTTGTTAAATCATTATTAAAACCAACATTTATAATTCGCGTTGTTATTGCAAGTATCAATTGAATAAAATTTGCAATAACTGCACCTAATAGATAAAATGTTGCTGGTGTTTCACGATACGAACGTACCGTTGAAAAAATATATATATTTAAAATATCACCTAATATTCCTAAAATTAATATTGTCATACCAAAATATTGTGCATATAATACTGCTATATATCTCCATGACACCATTTTTATATTTTAAAGATTTTTCAAATAAATGATACTTTATCTTGATCAAAATAATTTGTTAAGATGGAATATGCGTTTGTCGGGTACTCAAAAGAATAGAAATGAAAAAGAAAAAGAAAAAGAAAAACAATTAGTAAGTACATCTATATTGGCTGTCGAGCTTGACTTCTACACACAAGTAGCCAATAATGGATAAATAATGCAAAAATGATCCGTTATTTAGAGTCATATCTTAAACTTCGATGACTTATTATTTTCCCAAAGAAGAGATCGAAAAACGTGGTTTGATAAGTTTGAGATTCGATGTCACACTTTTTTCAAGAACACTCTAGCGAGTTTAAAAAATCGATAAAAAGTACGAATTCTGTTGTTATGTTCATTAAAAAAAATGCATTTATTCACGGTGGTCACTATCCAGGTGAATTGCTCCTGATCATGAACGGCTCTTTGCCATGAACGACCAGTAAAGCACATAACAATACGTCGGTTGTGAACGACGTTCAAATAATAACGGAAGGCACAGCATTCACTAAGCGTAGGTTTTTGATCGCACTTGTTGGTAAATAATCGTTAACATCAATAAATATCTGTATTCGCTCAAAAGAATGAACTACCATCAAAGCTGAGAAGAATCTAAACGTTTCATTACCGAGTATCGGTGCAAGATTGTAGCCAGGAAGAAAAAGCAGAAATTTCGTACTTCATAATACTCTAAGATTACTAGAAAATTATACTCGAGAACTTCTTAACTACTAGTTTAACTCTACTATAACTACATATCAGAAGAACATAAGTTTGAATTAAATTCTATGTTATTATATCGCTCAATAAAATTCAAACACTTCATTGTGCTTTTCTGATATTCAAACCTCTTACTACAATGAACTAATAGAGTTTTTGTGTGACACAGATTCATACGAAATTAGCTCCAGCTAATATATTCCAGATTTCAATGAATAATGGATATAAGATATCTTGGATATATGTTTCAAGTAAGTTGAAATACCGCATTTTTGTTTTTATCTTCTTAAAGTATAATCATAGCTCCTGCTCATAAGCAGCCAATTGCAAAAGTATAATCATTCAGGTATAATTACAAGAGTTTACGCTTAACGATAAAGAAAGAGTAGTAAAATCATTATTCTCTACGTATAGGTATAATTATAAGGGCATAGAAATAGGAATATAGTTATAGAGGTTAGATATGAGAGTGTAGTTATAAGAGTTTAGATGTACTGTTATACAGATAAATGAATGGCGATAAGGATGTTCTCTGAAAAAAAAGTGTCATACTAAACTTTTAAAGGTTCTAGATTTCGGTACCATTTTCTGACCATTTTACGTTTCAGCCAAAGTGGCTAGGACCTATGCAGATTCTTTAGTTTTATAGCCAATATCCTTTTAGCTCCAAGAGTTTTCGGTTAAAACTTAAATTGGTTCATAAAATGATATAGAAATCTAGAGCTCTAAAGGTTCAATCGGGCAACTTTCTTTTAGAGAGTAAAGATTGAAGAGCATAACCATAGAGTTCGAATAATACGAGTATAATGTATGCAGTTCTTAATGCATTAAAATGTATTTCACAAGATAATGTGTGCAATAGCATGATATTGCAACGTATTTCATGCATTATAATGCGTTGATACACAAAATGCATTAGAATGCATGAAATGGGTTGCATTATCATGTAATTACATCCATTGCGTTTCTATTGGAAAATGATGCATTGCCATGTCCATTATTTCACAAAATCGGCTACATGGGTAGACTTCTTGATTTTTTTTCATTTTTTTTTTATCCGAATTTAGTTTGAAGACGAATGGAATTTTAACTATAAAAGTAGATAACGATCTCTTTTTCAACTAACGCGTGAATGATAATATATAAAGGTTTTAAAATTATCTATTCTAAACAATTTTTGTTCTTGCAATCATCCTAATTCATCAATAATGTAATTCTTCTTCAAATGTTCATGTATATATGATTAATGAAATGCAAAGCATTTTTATCATATTCATTATTTTGTTTACTATAATATTTAAAAATTAACACAAATACGTACATAGATGCTATCCAATTAAATGAGTCACAAACAAATGATTCAGTAAAGATTTCAAAACAAACAATTAAAAGTATTCCATTTTTTTTTCTAAGAGAAATTATTTTTAGATTCTTTTTATATTTGTACCTCTTTTTTATAGCAAAAATTAAAATATAGATCAATTTAAAATTCTGTTCTTCCTTAATGGAAAATTTTAAAGTTCTCTAAATAAATTATTATTTCCGTTTATAAATATTTTGCATTACTATGAAAATTATTATTATTATTATCTTTGAAAATTATAACAATCGTATAAAAAATAACAAAAGTCACTTATAAATAGAAAATAAACATAGACTTCGAGTTTTTGTAAAATAGGTTTGAATAAATTTTGAATTTGTATGTGTGGACATTGCTTATAAAAGAGATTAAAATGTGAAACACAATGCAGCTACTGTTCCTTATCCCCTAAAAACTGGTCTTTGTTATGTATATTGAGGCATCTTTCTTCATCATTGCTTACAATGCAGTGCAGAACTTTAACAAGGAAATATTCCATATATATTCCAATTAGATATTAGTTACACATGATCATGGATAGTCTTTTAAAGCGGTCTGTCACGGTCTGTAGGGGAAGGGGGAGGGGTGCAAATGTCTATCCTATATACTTCAATACTCCTTTCAGATCGTGTTTCACAAAATGTATCTCTATGCTATTTATCTTTGATTAGATTGAAACATGTCGATCGGATTTAACAAAAGAACTGGAAATATAAAGACTTCATTAAATCAGTTATACATCTTAATTGTCTGTTCATTCTTTTCTTCACAATTTACTTTTAAAATGAATGGGATTCGTACTATGAAATGTACATCATGAGTTTTTCTTCGAAATTGCGAATAAACGATAATGTATATATGTGCTTAAAAGAATTCTTCTGGTTTTCTATTCTTATTATACTTACTCTTTTGTTTGTCATGAGTAAGACACATGTGCGTCAATGCAATATTGTTAGTATGTGAATTAATGAATTGTAAAGCTTTCAAAAGACATAATTAAAAGGATTCTAGTCTGCTTCTTTTCAAGGAAGAAAATATATCCGCTCTTTTATAATTATATTTTAACGTGATAAAAATATTGTTTCAAATGATCATTTCGATAATAGTAACCTAGTTATCTGTAATCTTTCGGCATAATCTTTGAAATGTTTTGATGTAACTTTGCAACGGAGATATCAGTGTGATGGTATGATAATAGAACAGAACAAAAGAATAATCGCCTTTCGCAAGAGACCGAGCGTTGCGTCTTCTACTTTTTGGGCAGCTGTACTAGCACTAGACTGGAAAGGGTGTTCTCCGAGTCGTTTTATAACCGAGGGAAAATATTCCGGATATAATGGTAATGATTAACATTTTAGACCATAAGAGTATTTGTAAAAGATTGAAAGAGAAAATCGATAGCTTCGGATAAGATATTTGAGATATCATTTCCAAAATAGAATGAATAAATCAATAATGAATATGTAATGAAGAAAAAATGTTAAAACCTTTAAATATTAGACTGAATATTAAAAAGATATTGACCGACATATATCAAATACTAAGTGGAAATGAATAACGTAACTGAATACTCAGAAAAAGCTCGATTTTCTGACTGACGAACGAACATTCCCAAGTGATTCGCACCGTTCGAGCTCACGTTTTGTTGGTGGCTAGGGTTGATCATGTATATAAATTATCTAAAAGAATTCGTGCCATTGCTTCTCAGTATCAGAGTTACGAATGAAGCAAGTATCATAGTAGACGGTGCCACCTTCTCTGTATTCGTTTTCTTTTACTTTCCTATTTTAACTAGGATATACCTTTTCCAGTTGAATATTTGATTGTCAACTTATCTTGTTTATGACTATTCACCTTAAAATTCTCAGTTCAATCTGACTTTTCGTTCGAGAGATAGAACATATGTTGTTCCTCTTTTTTCTTGGATAATCACTTTTATTTGTTTCATCCATGAGCTCTGGCAAGATCTCCTCGCTTTCCTTTGATTTTGTGTAGAAGAAAAAAAATTAAAATGAAAATATGGTTATAGTATTTCTTATTCAATAAATAAATAAAAAAGCGTACAAGGAAAACAATTAAAGTGTAATGAAAGTTCGAAGAAAGACACTAATCAAAGTCCAATGATAATGATATTTTAGAAAAAAAATGAGCGATGAAAAGCTTCCGTATCCAAGTAAAAAGCTCAAAAACTGAAGTTGATACAAGAAAAGGGTTCTATTCTGTAGAGCGAAAAGAAAAATATTTTCTCTTTTCTCTTCGAGAATGTGTTGTACGTTATGTGTTGATAACAAAACAATCATCAGAAGAACTCCTCTTTCCCATCCTCTGAACGTAAAATCAGATTGAACTGAGAATTTTAGGATGAGTAGTCATAAACAAGACCAGCTGACAATCAAATGTTCAACTAAAAAAGGCATATCCTAGTTAAAATAGGAAAATAAAAGAAAACGAACATAGAGAATGTGACGCCATCTACCATGATACTTGTTTCACTCGTAACTCTGATACTGAGAAGCAATGGCACGAATCCTTTTAGATAATTTATATACATGATCAACCCTAGCCATCAACAACACGTGAGCTCGAACGGTGCAAATCACTTGAGAATGTTCCCTATTGAGTCAAATGAACAAAACTCCAAGTTTCTTCGCTTTTTTTGGAATACCATTCGGAATTAGATCATATAATTGAATTTTACGTTGACGAGTAATATCTAACACACATTGAAAGGTTACCCATAAAATACAGTAGGCCGCTGCAAAATAAAGAAATCTCGTTTCATACCGTTCTGAATTCTATGCGCTATATAAACATCAGATCTAACTGACAATCGTATTTCAATTAAATTGAAAAGACTGTACGTGTCATTTATTTGGAACAGAATATTTTATTTTTTTTG